TTATGGAAAGCGTCATATGTTCTAAATTTCTTAAACTGTGATGATACAGACCATAGCAGGTATGAACACCATCATAAAACTCAAATGCTTTCATCTTCCAAACCACCAGTTATGATCAAAGATCTAATATCTGGGCAATGGTCAGGACCAGTAGATCTCATAACATGGGGAAGGGGATATGCCTGTGTATCCAAGGGTACCAAATTACAATGGGTCCCTTCTAGATGTGTCAGGCCTTATATCAGCCCTCTGCCACAACAGGAACAACCACCAGAAGAAATAAGTGAAGGATTTGGATTAGAAGAAACATGACCAACAATAGTAAACACATCACACAGTGAAAAACATAATATAAGAAAAAAAAGGGGGGGGGAAAGAGATATGTAAAGATTTAACATATAAATTTCAATAGAAATTATTTCTTAATGTGCAAGATACAAAATGCCCTATACGCATTTCTAATATGTTCAGTGTTTTTGAAATAGATCTTAGATTTTGTTGCCAGCTCTGAAAGTGGTATGATGTTTAGTGCATTATCTGATAACAGTGGGAGACTAGTGTTGAAAACGAAACTATGTAAATTCAAAATCAGGCTAAATAAATAACGTTTTTCACAGAGAGCAAATTATCTGATAAATTATCATGTATCAAGAAATAAATTTAAAAAATCCAGTAAAACAAACTACAAAATATGGAACAATACTGATATCACCTTGAAAGAAAGATGATAGAAAAGTCCCTTTTTTGGTCTTGTCAAATTAGATATTAATTGTGGTTCCTTGCAGAGCAGGATGGGCAACTAATGTTTTAATGATTTAAGCCACTGCAGAGGTGAAAAACAGGAAACAAATGAATCAAAATCTACAGGAACATGTACTATATCATCACCCAGGGGGTGATGATCCTTGGGGTTGAGCCAATGAGCACTCCTGCAAAATATAAACATATCACCCAGACCGGAAAAGAAGGGAGTAGTTGTAGCCATTGTTGAAAAAGGAGCCATGTTCTAAGCCACGAGGAAGGGGCCCGGAGCCCCACTGGGGGCTGGGCCTCTCCCCAGCCCCCAGCTGGGGGGCTACAGGGACTTGGAACAGTGTTAGACTGGGCTAAGTGTCTGTAGCTGAGAAGCTGGGAGTTTTTTTTTTCTCTACTGTGAGTAGCAGACGGAGCAGCGGCAGAAACAGTAATGACCAGAGAAACAGTGGCAGAGAGCCCCTCCCCCGCTGCTGCTGCTGCCAAGCTAGCAGTTTTGAGACAGAGTATGGGAGCTCTAGGGGCCCCTGGTGGTCTAGTGGTTAAGGTGCAGCACTTTCACCGCTGCGACCCGGGGTTCGATTCCCAGCCCCCCGGGCAGATGGAGCTCGTCAGCCCTGTAAGGCAATCCATCTAAGAGAAGGTCACTCTAAACAAACCTACGTTCTGAGACCCTCACTGCCACTGTCCAAGCTTGCTCGGCCC